AGTGCAAAACTTGTGTTTCCAGAGAAATTTGAACTGTGTCATACATAGGGATGCAAACAGCATGAGACAGCTGTTGTGGGCAAGGATTCATTCTCTACCCTTGCAAAAGGGTAGAGAAATGTTGCATTTGCAAAACACAGCTTCCTTTTTTTTATATTTGGAAAGCTATGGCCTTATCCAAATAAATTTGCCCCTCCTGGTATTCATGGTTGCAATCTTTCGGTACTTCTGTTTCTCCAAGGGAGAAGGAAAAAACAGAAATCAGACTTTCTGAGATGAACTGATGTGCAGTCTGGGTGAATTGAGGTGCATTCTAACAAGAGATTGAGTGTGATGGTAGAGTAATGAGCTACTGCATTGATGTAACAAAGTGAGTGGAAAACAATATTGATAGGGAGCTCAGATTCATAGATTATCAGCATTAGTGTGGGCTGGATTGTGGCTTGTGGCGAGGGCTGGTCCTGGATGGTTGGGACAGACTGAGACAAGAGATCTCTCGAAGTCAGGTGTTAAAGTATACAGCTTATTGTGGGGTCCTGCTTGGAGCTGCTAGCCACAGCTCAAAGCAGGCCCCAAGGAGAGGGGGCAGGGAGAGGTAGAGCATTAAAAGAGAGGGTCTAAGAGGGTAGAGAGAAGGGGAGGGAGAGAGCGCAGGAGAATGGGCAGGAGAAGGGGGCCTGGTCTCCTGGGAACGCCTTATCGATGGGGTTTGAAAGTGGGTGCGGAATAGGACTTTCGACCAATGGGATTACAGATACAGGATACTTCAGGGGAGGGTTACAGATACAGAATAAACTACATTTTTGAGAGATGAGACAGAACACTGTATCTGACCCTTGGATCTGTCTTGGGTCAAAAAAAGGAGTTACCTTCTACTAGCTACATCACCATCCACAGTGCTTAGCAACCAAGGTCTGCCATCTCAAAGCTTGTTTTCATCTCAGTCTGGCTCACAGTCTCTGTATTTTCTAATTCCTTTGCTAAGCAGTCATATTTATAAGGCTTTCTTATTTCATGCTCCCCAACAGTGGGTGTTGTCAGAATTTTAATAGTAGGCACTAAGGAGGTGCTAAAATAAGGCTGTTTGTCTGGTACACATCATATAAGAGATGCAACCCTTTAAGAAGGTTCCAGTACCTTGAGATTAGTTCCATTAGAGCGTGACACTAATAATGCCAGGGTTGTGGATTAGAATATCATATGGGCCATTCACTTGGACTTAGTGATCCTTGTGTGCCTTCCAACTCATTCTTTGAGTCCGTATCAGTAGTGAGATGCTCCTTTTTAAATCCTGTTCTGCATTTTCAGGTTTGAATAATCCATGGTTTTTTATGTAATCTTCACACAAACAGTTTTAAGGTTGTTGGGCAGAAGATCAAGTACTGTTTTGGTATGTCTGAGCAGGTATTGATGTGGTTGTGCATTGGCCATGGTCAGCGTGTGTGACCCTGCATGTTGCACCAGTACCAGGCAGACAGATGTCTGCTCTCCCATGCTTGGCATATTTGCATTTCAGTGCCCGCAAAACACGAATAAATATTCCTTGCTCTGTAATCACAATTTACTAAAACTATCAAGTTGATAAAAAAGTTATCATGTATCTATCACTGTGATGATTTAAAAAGTTTTGGTATACTCAGTGTGCAGAGTATTGCCCCCAGATTTTTTTCTGGCAAATCACTAGTTTAGAGTTCTGTGCTGTGGCCACTGGGTTTATAATTTACTGTAACTACTACAGGAAATAGTAGTTGGTATGACTGAGCTTCCCTGTCTCTGTGAAATTTACTACAGTAATGCTGCTAGTTGGTATTTTTTCTAGAGATTTTAGCTCTTTTCAGCTATTTCTGAATGGCTTCCAGGTTTGTAATGGTGTTGTTCATATCAGTGTGACCAGGGTGATGAAAAGAATTTGTGATTAGGCCTTGGTCAGCCCACAGTTCGGCTTATTTAGTAACTCACTGATGAGAGGAGATTTGTACTGAAGTATCTCATACTATGAACTAAAAAAATTCTGTTCAGGGAAGATGGTGATTTCTGATAAAGTAACGTTAAGATGTAGATAATGTGTCATAACATTTTAATTTTCTTTTGTGATTTGCCAAGACATGGACTTGGATGTGAAATGTTCAAGCTGCAATTTGTACTTGGGTGAGAGTATGTGAACTGAGTACAGTGGACTTATGGTCATATCAAATTAATGATCTGCTTTATCTGTCAGGGGATATCCAAATATTTTCTATTTATGGCTACTCTTAGACTTTCCCATGAGAAATTGATGTGAATAAAATGAAGTTCTCAAAGTGGAATGCAAAAAAGTAAATCTTAACAGGAGGGTAGCTGGCAAGAAGAGGAAGGAAGAAATTAATTTTGATCATGCTCAGTTGTAGAAGCACAGAGTTTGCTTAGAGGAATAGCTAGTAGTTCATGCTGATTAAAGATCATGGGGCTTGTGTACAGGGTGAATATCTGCAAAGCTGGGAAGAGGAGTTTCAGAAAATAACTTGTCAATGGAAATGTAAGAGGTGATACATTTGAGGTTGTGTGTGTGTTTGCAGTCTGTTCATTTGCTGACCTTCCAACTTCCCTGGACATTGAGCTTTTTATCTAGAAATATATGTTGTTTTCTTTGAAAGAATTCTGGATTTTTTTTTTCTCTACATTATCTTGCTGATTTACACCCTGGACCTTTTTTGTTACCATTTCTGCTGTTTCTCTTTGGGTGTCTTCTAAATACATGAATTTTGAATTTTGAAAATACTGGAATACTTTAAAAATCCAATATAAATATGTTCCACATAGTAGTATTTCCTGAACATTGCATGAAACTAGCAGATGAGATAAATAAATTAATTATTTGGCCTTGCTGGTCTGTTTTTAAAAAATACTGGACTTTGTGCATCCTTTTGCACCAGTCTCTGAGGCCTGTCATCTCATGCCTTATGAATTTTCTTGTTTGAAAAACTGGGGCAAGAGAAGATAGTGGTACTTGAATGAGGACAGGAACAGTATTCTGGGAAAACAAGGGATCTGAAAATCAGGCCTGTGGTTATTTCTCTACTAAAAACTTTTTGGTTGTGACTGGGAATATTGCCAGGCACTGCAGGAAAATTGTTCTCACTGTTAAATTGTTAGCTTGATCCTTGGCATGCGTTGGCCTAAGCCAACGCTTCCAGAAGAGACTTGGGCAGAGTTCAGGTCTTCAGTGTGTCCTAGGAAGTGTTCCATTAAGTAGTTTGCATATGGTTAACCTTTTCTGGACATTAAGAGATATTTCTGTAGTGAATTTAGGCCCCTTGCTGCTAGTTGGCCTTGCTACAAGGAATATCTTTAGGTCTTTTAATTTCTATATGTGAAGCTAAAAGTCCTAGATCCCAGAGGAATGCTTTATCCAGCAAACCATTAAGCCACAAAAACCAGTAAATCAGTAAGCAACAACAACAAAAAAAGATAATATTTTCAACTAAAATTATGCTTACAACACAGCCTATATAATTTTTTTTTTTGTGTGTGTGGTGACCCTTACAAATCTTTCTGAAATTAGGGGAGTTATTTTTGTCTCTGATAGCATTTGTAATCTTAGTCTATAATACTTTCTGTCTCAAAATAATAGTGTTTTCTGGTTTTGTTAAATTGTTTTTAATTTTGAATGTACATGTCTGTCAGTTTAGCTTTAGATCAATGCCACTTCTATTGGTTTTGGCTGGGATACAGGTAATTTTGTCCCTAAGAATTAGTATGAGTCTGTGTTTTTGATTTGTGCTGGAAACACATTTGGTAACACAGGGATGTTTTAGTTCCTGCTGGCAGGGCTTACACTAAGCCAAGGCCTTTGCAGCTCCTCACCTATCTCACCAGTGAGGAGGCTGGGGGTGTGCTCCAGGGTTTTCCTGGAGCTGGGAGGGGACACAGCTGGGGCAGCTGACCCCAGCTGACTCACAGCATATAGAGCTGTGAGTAGAAGGAAGAGGGAGATGTTCGGGGTTATGGAGTTTGTCTTCCCAAATCACCATGAGATGTGATGGGGCCCAGCTGTCCTGGAGATGGCTGAACACCTGCCTGCCTGTGGAAGAGGTGGATGTATTCCTTGTTTTACTTTCTCTATCAAACCATCTCTATCTCAACCCTTTAATTTTTTTATTTTGCTGCTCTGATTCTTTTCCTTTTCCCACCAGAAAAGAGTGAGGGAGTGGCTGTGGGTGCCTAGTTGCTGCCTGGGGTTAAACCACAACACACTTAAGAAATGGGACTGTGTTGTCTTGGTGGTTTGTAAATCACAGAGGCACAAATGGCTGTCTAGAAACAGCATAAAGAAGAGAATAATGAAGACAGAATTTCCTTTGTGAAATTGTGTCCAGAGGAGTGCAACGAAGATGGTGAAGGGGTCAGAGCCCTGGTTCTGTGAGGAGTGACTGAGGAAGATGAGGTTGTTTAAACTGGAGAAAAGGAGGCTCGGGACATCTTACCATTCTCTACAACTCTCTGAAAGGAGCATGTAGCCAGGTGGGGTCAGTCTCTTCTTGCAGGCAGCCAGTGACAGGATGAAGCATGTTCTCAAGCTGCACCAGGGGAGGTTAGTATTTTATATTAGGAAAAATTTATTCCAGTCACTGCTATAGGCTGCCCAGGGAAGTGATAGATTCATCATCAAAAGGTGTGTGTGTGTGTGGCACTTGAGGACATGGTTTAGTGGTGGATATGGTGGTGTTCAGTTAGCAGTTGGACTTGATGGTCTTAGAGGTTGTTTCCAGCTTTTAAGATTCTATGGTTCTAAATCACTTGGTGTATCCGTATTTTTCAAAATACTACTATCTTCCTTCAGACTTTTTATCTCTGAGGATGTGTTACAAGTAAGTTTGTGGTGGAAGGTGGATGACTGACAGTACCTTTTTCTTTGGTTCAGGCCTTTGTGTATGGGATAGATACATTGTAGACTGTGGGACATGTACTTTGTATGAAGGGCAGATGTCATTAAAATGTCCTTGATTTTTCTTTTGTTTTAGGGACACTAACTAGGGTCTTCAACAACCATGAGCAACCCTTTTGTACAGATTGTGGAGCCACTGGACCCGAAACAGCCTCTGAAGAAATTCTTTAATCTGAGCAAATTGGAAGATGTGAGATACAGTACGTTGACGACATAAGAGAAGCGTTTTGTTAGTACTGATGAACAGAACCTGAACAGACTTGGCCACACATTGGATGATACTTGGTCTCTGGCGAGACCTATGAATTCAAAAGGCGGACCTTGAAAACAAAATTTTAGCGAAATTTAGTTCTTGAAATTTAGAATGACAGAAATATTGGCAAGATCGCAGTAGTATTTTCTCAGCATACTGTGCACACAGCAGCCTTGTTTTTGCTGAGTGGGTGAGGCGAGCTAGGCAAAACTAAGAGCACAAGTCTTATTCTGCTAAAGGCTGGAAAGGCTCTAACACTGATATGTATGACTGAGCCAATCAGAAACATTCTTCAGGTTTGAAAACAGTAGTGGGTAGAGAGTCCTTTCTGAGGAGGCTTGTTCTCTGACATTTCCTCAGTCTTTCAGTGGTACTGGTAAAAATCTTAATGTCTGCCATTGACTTAGAAACTTGAGTATCTGTACCTTAGAGTTATCTGTGGTGGGTGTTTGGTGTTTCAAAGGGAAACAGGCGATTAAGGAGAATTCAAGGGAATAAGAGGAGGAACATTTTCTCTAAATGTCAGCAACACATACCTATTACAGGCTCTGATATGCGAGCAGTCAATTAATATCAGTCTTGGTCACTGAAAAGCAGAGAAGCGTCTTAAAGAATAGACAAATATATATACAGTGTTACCAATTGATCCATTCCAGGATTCCAAGAGTGATAAGGAAAAAGGATGCAATTCTCACTATCCAGCATAAAAAGGGAATAGCTTAGCAGGGAAGGGCAGGAGAAGATTCTAAATACCCCAAAACAACAACAGTACAATAACGTCCAAAACTCCCAGATAAACAAAATCCCCCAGCACAAAACCCTCAGCAACAACCAACCCAAATTGTTCTGAATTACTGTGTCCTGAATTGTAAATGGAGGGTTTTTTTTTACAATAGCACTAATGAGGTCTCTCTGAGATTAAGTGACTTTTATATCTTGAGGCCAGTCCTGTGTAGAAAGTTGGAACAAACTTCTCAAAATATTTTAAAATGTGAATATTCTGAGAGGCAATCGAACAACTATTACTAAAGTGGACCAGAGGAGGAAGGACTGAGACATGTTTGGGTTTTTTCTTCATACCCATTCCTTATAGTAGAGCTGTGACGACAACTCCAGTAGCAATTTGTGTTATCTTTAAATATTTCTGATTTGAAGTTAAAGAAGATTGATGGATGTGCAGTCTGACTTTCGTTCAGTTTCATCTTCCATCTCTTGAGACAAAGAGACTGCTTAAATCATCAAAGTTGTACTTTCCAACATGGCAGGGAGAAGACTATGCTTTTCCTGGTACATTTATATGTCTGTATTCAGTGACAAGAGTGAGAGTAAACTGATGAAAAAAAAGGTGAGAACAGCATGTTTTCAGGGTTACTGTGCTATGGAGGACAGAAAAGTCCCTCAGTGAAGATGTTTACTGTGTCACAGGAACTGAGATAATAAACCTGCTGAAAGCATCGAGTGGAACAGGTCAGTTAGTACTGACCTTCTGGCAAAGCTGGAGATGGGAAAAGGAGTTTGGATAATTGGAATAAAGCCTTGTGAGAATATGGGGACTTGTCTGCCTAGGCATGGAACTTTGTGCTTGCTGACATATGCCCTAAGATAAAAACTGAGTTTGTTTCTTGCATCTAACCCGTTGCAGCTTGCCTGCCATTTTCTATTCGAATCCTCCTGGAAGCAGCAATCCGTAACTGTGATGAGTTCCTAGTGAAGAAAGGCGATGTTGAGAATATTCTTAACTGGAAAGTGATGCAACATGAGAATGTTGAAGTGCCATTTAAGCCTGCAAGAGTTATTCTGCAGGACTTCACGTGAGTCTGATATTCTCCAAAGCAAGGAAGAGGGTCTTTTGAGAGTGCAACAATGCTCAGCTTGGGGTGGAGGGGTGAGCTGAGGGGAAGAATAGCAGTGAGATATTTGGCAAATCCTTTTTCAACTTTCCTGGATGTCATGCTACAGACAGTTCTTGGAGAGGCAAACACTCAGAGTAAGAGCATTGAAAAAAACTTTTCTGAGACGGAGAAGTAAATATCTTCAGAAAACTTCAAAATGGGGGAAGAAAATGGGATTGATAAATTGCATCCAACTGAGGAAGATTGGTGTTTAGAAATTATTCTTTGAAGGAATAGTCATGTCTGTTTTCTCTCTACCTCTCTCTCTCTCTCTCTCTCATTCTCTCTCTCTCTCTCTCTCTCTTCTTTTTTGGTTGGTTTTTTTTTTGTTTGTTTTTGCTCCCCAGGGTCTCTTGCTTTCAATTTTCTAGCTATTTCAGTTCTCATTTATAACCCATATAATTTCTTCCTCTTCTAAATCAGTGTTATTATAAATATATTTTAAAGACTACTCTGCTGTTGAAAAAATGAGCATCTTATTTTTCCCTGAAAAGCAAACTGAGATTCCTACCTAATGGACTCTAAAAAATGGGCCTTGTTATTGCAGTGAGTCCTCAGGTGTGTCAGTAATAATCATATAATAGTCCCTCTTCAATGTGGAAAGTCAATTTCCAGGTGGAACAATAACATCTAGTTGTTCTAATACAGTATTTGACTTGCAAGTCTACTCACTATTTTTATCTTTGTCCCCTGTCTTTCCACAGTAATCCCAGTGCAACTATGCTGCCAGTTGATATTCTTCCTCAGCGGTAGAGTGTCTTAGCTGTCATAACCTCTGTTATGAGGTTTTTGAAGTGCTAGAGACCTAGTACAGCTCAGCTTAGACATTAGAAAAATTTGGCAAAACTTCAAATGAAAGAAGTGCTGATTTCCTACTTATTTTTCACCCATTAGCTATTGTTAATGTTTTGAAAACCTGGAGCAGAGAGGAAGCTGAACTTTCAAGCAAACATTGTTCGTTCTCTTACTGCTCTTCTATCTTGCCCCCTACTCCTGCTGCGTTCTAAAAATGTGCCTATAAGTCTGCAGAGCAACTCCATTCCTGGAAAATGAGCTCTTGGACAGGCCTCTGAGGACCTTTTTGAAAAAGGCAGCTTTGGCAACTTTCCAAAAGCTGTGCAACAATTACATTCAGGTTGTCCTGGTTTAGAATTATCTAACTTCCTAGTTAGAATTATTCTGTATTTATCTTGAGTTGTTTTAAGATGGTAGAAGGATATTATGTCTGTTCATATTAATTGTACAACATTCATAAGTTGGCAAAATAATTCTTCTGCTGTTTTCCTCCTACCCCCCTCCCTCAAATTCCTCCAGGTAGCATAACACAGAATTTCCTATTTTTCTTATAAAAAGCTTATCCTGGGATGTCAAACTGCTGAACAATATCAATTAATTGTGTCTAGGTCAGATAATGTGGATCCTTCTTCCTGTTTATTTTTTGGTAATTATTTAGGATTTTCAAGGTAAACTTCAGTAGGAACTAAAAAGCCTTTTACTGTTGTTGCATGGTTTCTGATATTTTAAAAAATTTTAATAGCTTCCTTATGGTCAGAGTTAAAAACATAAACCCTTACTGCTTTGGCATGCTCTTACAGAAATACAGTTTTTTCAGTAGGTTGTTCATTGAACCCAGATCCTTATGAGCACATCAGAGAACTCCTTTTGTTTTAGCAGCCAGCAAAATCGGATAAGTAAGTATGTAAGAGGGTTTTCCAAGCTGGTGGAAGATATTATGGTAGAGCATACATCAGCAGAAAACTGAGAATGTGTGTGCAGAGAAGCATCAGAAGCTGTGTTAAAAGAAATACCAAAAGGTGTATGATCTCTTAGCTAAGTCAAGTGTTCAAATGCCAGAAGTTCTGGTTGCTACTCATTATTTGGTTGCATTGAAAATGGAGGAGTGCAGTTTGCTTTGTATGTGACAGTAACTGTCCCTTCTGTATCTCAGGATTGGGGTTTTTTTGGGGTTTTTTTTTGTTTCCTCTTTTCCAAATTGTTTCACCATGCCTGCTTTGTTTTTGTTGTAGTGGGGTGCCTGCTGTGGTTGACTTTGCTGCAATGCGTGATGCTGTGAAGAAACTTGGTGGGGACCCTGAAAAAATAAATCCTATCTGTCCTGCTGATCTCGTGATAGATCACTCCATCCAGGTTGATTTTAACAGGCAGTAAGAATAAAAAAATCACTCTTTACTTCTTACTGGTAGTAAGTGAACTGAATCCAGTTACTGGTCATCAAGGTAGTTCTACTGGTGATACTATTAGCATTTGTACTTCAACATTCCAGGCAGTATGAAATTTTAAAATTAGACTGTTGTATCAGCTGTGGTTACTTGGGGCTAGAATTTTCTCTCTCTGTGGTGCATTTCTCAACAGCAAAAACCTGTAGTAAACTGTTGATAGAAATAGGCTTATTCCAGGCCTTTGTTTGTTGTACTTCTCTTTAATAATGCTGCATTGTTACTAATCGCTCAGAAATGGCATTTTTTCCCCACGTGCACTTTTTTGACCCTATAAGGGTTTTTAGAAAGAACAAATGAGAATATTTCATTTCTTCCTCACTTCTCTAAGAATAGAGGTGATCTAGTCTAGGCTCAGTTCTGAGGAATTGCTTTCTGCTTCAGTGCCTCCAAGCAGAAAACCATGAGACACTGCATACTATGGCCCCTATGAGTTCTGGAAAGAAATATAAGGCTGTTCAGTCTTCAGCATGCTGAGGACAAAGATACAAAGACTCGCGAGGATTCACTTAGATGTACAGCGAAATAAATGACCTCTGTATACAGGTCCTTCTACCCTCCAAGGTACATAAATATGGGTCTACTAAACTAATCTTCTAGACAGATCCTGCAATCACATATTTTATGGTGGTTTCCTTCCATCTTCCTGAAGTTTTTTGGTATGCAGTTACTAATCATTGTTTTTTGTCACAGCCTTATTTTATCTCTATTAGTTCACATATGCAAGAAAATAGAGATTTTTCTCTCACATAGAGAACATTGGCCAGATTTATGCTTCAGTTCTTTCAAACTCTGCATACCTAAGCTAGGCAGCTGATTGAAGAATTTGTTAACACTGCTTTGAAATACAGAGGCTTCAGACAGCACTGTCATAGTGACAACCTTTTTAAATGAAGTTGCAGGACAGTTGTGTTCCAGTTTCCTTTACTGCCTTGCTGATTTCTTCTGATTTAGGTGTTGGAAAAGTCACATTTTGCTAACATGCAGTGTTGCTTTTCCCAGGCTACAACATTTAGGCCTGCCAAATGCAGATTAGTATTCACATTTGAAGCAGAGTTTCAGGTATTATCTCTTAAGATTTCTTAAATAATTTCCATTGGTTGTCTGTAGTGATATTAAAATGGTGCAACAGATCAGCATGCACATTAGCTAATAAATCTTTTCTTTCAACCTTTGACAAGATATAAAATTCACGTGATAATTTTGGTTCTGACAGCTGATTATTTTCACTTGCAGGTCAGACAGCTTGCAAAAAAATCAGGATCTGGAATTTGAAAGGAACAAAGAAAGATTTGAATTCTTAAAGGTACTGACAAAAATAATCTTATTTGCATGGAGAAAAGTGCAGTGAATGAAAGTTCTTCCAGTGCTCATGTTGAAAATTTTTTACTGTAATTCCTTTTGTTTCAGTGGGGTTCTCAAGCTTTTAAAAACTTGAGGATTATTCCACCGGGCTCTGGGATCATCCACCAAGTGAACCTGGAGTACTTGGCAAGAGTGGTGATGGATCAGGATGGCTACTACTATCCAGACAGCGTGGTTGGCACTGACTCACACACCACTATGATAGATGGCTTGGGAGTGCTTGGCTGGGGTATGTACAGCAGTGTATCGTGAGCAGTCTTTTGTCTCAGGGAGCTAGCTGTGTTTTGGGCTCGGGTGATTTGATCCTGATTGGCAGATCACCCCCACCCAATCACTTCCTCCCTCCTTCTGTTTGCACAAGGGGGGAAGAGAACTGTTAGTCCAAATGCAAGATTAAACTGATGGGTAAAGACAAAGTTTAAGTGAAGAGGAGTGAGTGTCAGGAAAGGAAGTGAAAGAAGTGATGTAAAGACAGTCAGTAACCAGCTCCAATCAGCACACCAAAGTCCAGCCAGTCCCTGGGCAGTGGCTACTTTGGAAAGCCCACCTTCCCAGTTGGTGATGAGCCTGATGTTTTATGGCATGGAATATCTCATTGTTGAGCTCTCGTCAGCTGTCCTGGCTGTGCCTCTCATGGTGTTTTTCCCACCCCAGTTTACTTCCTGAGGGGCTGGGTAAGAAACAAAAAGCATTATGCTGTGTAAGGACTGCTTAGCAGTAGGTTAAACTTTGGTGTGGTTGGTGTGGTTTGGTCACAAGTCTAAAACATGGCTTTGTATGGGCTGCTGTGAAGAAAAGTGATCTCTGTGCCAGCTAGACACAGTAACATAGCCTAATCCCAAATGCAAGTAACCTGATAAGGTCTCTTACAGTTATATAAGACTTGGTAACTAAGATCCCCTTTCTAATAATTGCCTCAGATGATTTCTGTTATACTTGTTGTTGGCTTTGTTTGGATTTTTTAATATATCCCTTTTTATCCTGCATTTAAATCACAAGGAAGTGGATAAGGAAAATATTAAATTAAAAAAGGGAATTGAAGTATCACTGACTATGCAATTTTTCTTGTGTCACTTGACTACTTTAAAAGTGTTGGATTATCTAAAAAGCACTGCAAATACAAATCTATTAGGTGGAAGGTGCTGAAAATTAGATCTGAGTGACTTAAATATGGTAGGAAAGGACATTATGCAAAATAGAACTGTGATGTTCTAATACCAGTACTCTGCACAATATTTGTTACAGGAATAGATATAAATAATTTATTTTTCCTTCTAGTGGTGAACCGAAGTGCTTGAATTATATAATAAATAAGTAACTATGGAGTGGAAGTATTTGTAGTCATCCCAAATAGTAGCAAAGACTTCAACTGAGCCTTTATTTTCCTGTGATATTGTGATTGGAGCACTATTGAAACAGCTGTTGTACAAATATGGGATACTCAGTGTTTTTAAAGAGTTTTTGTTAATTGTTCATGAATGTGCTTGTGAAGTTCTGAGCACCACATATGGTAGGACTTTCTGATTTTCATAACATTGTACTGCAGCAGTATTGATTGAGTGAGACTTTCTGAATCAAGGGTGAAAGAGTTCCTGGCTTAGAATACAAAGGTAAACAAGTTCAGTGTATCTAAAGCATGACATCTTTGGGAATAGACACATCTCTTATTCTATATTTGGTTGCTGCATATGCATGGAACCCTCATTTAATTGAAGTTGTAGTACTAAAAGCTGCTTCGAAAAATGTGACTCTTAGCCTCAGTTTTTCTCCAGAATATGAAAAGTATGGCTGGACACAGTCTATACCGCATGTACTCAAAATGCACGTTCTTGGATCCAAGAGGTTTTTTTTTAGAGGCTGGTGATGTTGAATTTGGTTCATGACTGTCAGTGATAGTCAGTCAGTTATTTCAACTGACTTGAATGTTTAAAAATTATTCAACACCCTGTGAAAGGAATCACATGACTGGATCTGTCACAGCATTATCTTTTAAATTAATAGAGGTGTATAACTTTGAATAAAAGACATTAGAAATTATTTTTCAGAACCATTCTTAGATTAAGTGGGAAGAAGAATTGGAATAGTGATTTGGCATTCATAAGCAACTATTTCAGGCAGTTTTTTCTAGCTTAGTATTCATTCAGCTAAAGAAAAGGTAGGAGATTTCAGAGAAAACTATAAATATTTGGGGGACTTTCTATAGGCAGAAAGTTATAAAACTGCTTAATGGCTTGGTTGCTAGATAATAAACATCATGGCTTTGTTAGATTGCATATGACTATGACATCTTTAAATGTTACCTTAATAAATTAGCAATATTAAGTTGTAGCTGGAATTCTGATAGTGAAGGTGTGGTTATGCAACGGTTCCCACCTATGCATTCCCAAACCCTGTTGGAACATAGTGGACATAAGCAAAGATATTTCTGTCTTTTATGTTAGCATTCTTTAGTAACATTTTTTTCTTTCAAAATAATTTCTGATTTTTTTTTTTGGTGACCAACAATCATGCTCTGCATATGTTTCATTCACAGCACATGTTCAGTGCCATGTCCGTGGTTCTTGGTTTGTTGCATTACATGTTTAAGGTATTAAATAAAACTTTTACATCTGTTATTGTAAAAGCCAAGCATCCTTAGAGTAAGTTGCTTAGATTCACCTAATATCACATCTAGTGGCTTAGGAACAAGGATGAAAATATGAAACAAAATGAAATAAAAAAGCCCAACCTTGCAGGGATGGCAGCAAGATAAGGAATGCCTCTTAGCAGAAGACTCAGACTGCTTTCTCTACCGTTTCATACCTTAAATAGAGTACTCATCAGGCAATTGACTTCACAAGTTTGTCTCTGACATGTTAGTATTTTTCTGAATAGTCACATTGTGTCCTCCTGTTGTGTGCAGGTGTGGGTGGCATTGAAGCAGAAGCAGTGATGTTGGGACAGCCAATCAGCATGGTGCTTCCTGAGGTGGTTGGCTATAAGCTGGTAGGAAACCCTCAGCCACTGGTAACATCCACTGACATTGTACTCACCATTACCAAGGTAAATTACCAAGACTTGATATTTTTCCATTGCTGCTGAGAAATAAACACATTCTATAGGACAGAGCCACTGTACAGAATGTTTAAGAACCCTGTGTATGCTTCCAGGTAGTCATTTTTAATTTTTAAAAAGCTTTATCACTGCCTGTGGGTTGGATTCAGCTAAATAAGGAGAACTGTCTAGGCAAATCTGTTTCTCAGAAGCCACACAAAATATATGTTGGGGTATTTTGGAATTCAGTAATGTTTTGGAGCAACAGTGCTTTTTCCTCTGCCTCAAAAAGACACAGATGACTTGTTTTTTGAGGTCACTATTTAAAATAAGGCAATATAAAATCTGGAAACCAGACAGTAAGCATTGCAGTCATATTTCTTCCATGCGCAGGTATTTGACTCTTGTAATATATTTATAATATATTTACTCACTCTGTACATTGTCACTGAATTAAGAGTATTACTGGGTCAGCATCAGTGTTTTTGGAAGTCAGAAGTCTGGTAGAGAAGTTCATAATGGAATGCTGCCTACAGAGAGACTTCCAAATGGGGAAAGCCAACATTTTTTCATCATTTTATTCAAATGTTATGTGTGTTCAGTTTGATTCATGTACTTGTGCAGTTGGTTCTCCCTGTTTTTCCATCTTCCTGGGTTTACTGTGTGAAGACTTCCCACACAGTTCTCTTCCTCTATGTTGAGAATAATGCACTTGTAAGACAGTCTAGTTTAAATTAAAGGAAGGGCAAGTTTTAGAAGAAATATGGTCCTGTGTTGTTCCTTATTATTGAAACGTTACATCCCTCTGTCCTCATCGTCATGATTTAGTTTAGCAAAAGCTTCCTGGTTTCAAATGGATGTAGAAATCTTCACAAGAGATTTCTCTGAGTCAAAGGCTGGACTTCATAACAGACATGTTCATGTCATTTGACACATAACAATGACACATGCACTGTATTTTTATAACAGCATCTTCGCCAAGTTGGAGTCGTGGGTAAATTTGTGGAGTTTTTTGGTCCTGGTGTTGCCCAGCTGTCAATTGCTGACAGAGCCACCATTGCCAATATGTGTCCAGAGTATGGAGCAACAGCTGCCTATTTTCCAGTGGATGATATTAGCATTGGGTACCTGATACAAACTGGTGAGTATAGGAAGAGACCACAATTTAAGGGGTAATTGAAAGGATGCCAGGTCTATATGACATTAGTAGTGGGATTGAATGAAGCCTTCTGAGCTTCAGTTCATTTTTTTATTGGCATTTACTTATTAAGACTAGTTTTTGCACTTAGGATGCATATTTAGGAAGAGCTGAGTGTTGGACTTTTGGCAGCCTGCGAAAAATCTGAACCTAGGTTGTCCAGGTGACAGAAATAGGAAACTAAAATTTTGTTTCGCAAAAGCCACTAAGTCTGCTCAATTGGTTTGTTTTTAGTGGATCTCTAATACTAGTCTTGAAAGGGTCTTGTAGTGCTATTGACAGCGTGCCTGTTATGCACTTTTTTTTGTTCCGTCAGATGGTGGTTCCTCCATTTCACTTGCATTTTGGTTTTGCTGTATCTGGCTTTCTTTTTAGGCCGTGACAAAGAGAAGGTTATGTGCACAAAAAGGTATCTTGAGGCTGTGGGAATGCTAAGAGATTTCAAGAACTCTTCTCAGGATCCAGACTTCACACAGGTTAGACACTACTCTGTTTTCTGGCTCCTTACTTTGTGCCCTGTCCTATTTTATTGTGATGATTGTCTGTTTTTCACAGAAACTTATGAAATAGTCAAGGGATTTTTTTGTTGTAGGTCTTTAGTCTGCACAGCTGTCTTATTTTAAGGCTCAGTGGATTGAGTCAGCTGGCTCTTCAGGTGTGAAAACTTGGATGTAGGTATAGACTGGCTCTCAGTTGACCTCTAGCTGGTGCAGATTCTTAATTTTGTTCGATGGAGCTTTGAGAAGTCCTTCTAGAGTGAAGGATACTCTGAAGTGTAGCTGTGAGGTAATGTGGATGTTGTGTGTTTAAGCCCTTTTTGCAGTTTTTTTCAGTTCAGCCAGTTATTTTATTGTGTGAATAAGGTTGAAAAATGGGTGAGGAATATATGAATAATAGCAGAACAATAGTCTGCTGTATTTTTTATCAGTACCAGTATTTCTTCATGTCATTTTTTAACCTGTTTCTAGCATGTGAAAAGACAAATTAAAAAAATAATCTATAATGCTTAGATGCTTTAATGACATTGGGTTTTTCAATAACTTTAGTACTTTTGATAGTCATATCTGTGAGCTGGCAGCATCTAAAATTAGAAATGTTGCTTTTTTTCTGATTATCCCATTCTTGTGTGTCTTCAATAATTTCTGCAGACATATCATTGATTCAACAGCAGATGTAAGCATACCTGTGGTTTACCTGGCTTGAGCTTCTCAGGCAGTGCCCAACCACTCTCTGTTTATCTTACTTGAACAGGTTGTTGAGTTGGATCTCCATACAGTTGTGCCTTGCTGCAGTGGACCAAAGAGACCTCAGGACAAAGTTGCTGTGTCAGATATGAAGAAGGACTTTGAGACTTGTCTGGGAGCCAAGGTAGGAACTGGGAACATTTGGGCAAACAAGCTAATTCATACTTCTAAAAGCTATCTGGTGTTCAGGAACTGCGTTCTGGGATTGTACTGAAAAATAAATAAGGATATTTGACTGCAGTTTCAAAGGTGACAGAAGCAATAGGTAATTTAAAATTGTGATGTTGCTTCTCTTGCATGAAAGTGTTCATGTCCTGTTGGAGTAGTATGTCTTTCTGATCTTAGGCCTAACATGGTTCTGACATAGACTAGAGATTTCTGAACTCTGCCATGATGGGGCGTTGTTAATAGAGGGGACAAAATACCTACTCCACTGAGTTCTGAGATAACTACCCAGCTCTTCAGCTCTCCAAGCATTCCAAGTAGCTTATGTCCTGAGTCCACAATGTAATTTTGCACTATTGAATCTGTTCAGCAGAGCAGAACTGTATGTGCCTCTGTGACTCTTTGATGCTAGTGGTAAAGACAGAAAACAATGACTATATTCTGCATCATCCAGTCAAAAGTGGTCATTGAAAGAGGAGCTAAATTTGTAGTTGAATGAATATTCCTGGATACTTAAGTTTTCTAAATCAGTTTGAATACCTGATACAGTAACCATCCTTGTTAAAGGCATTACAGAACCCCAGTGACGTAAAAGAAACCTAAACTACAGCAGTTCCCAATAATACTTGGTTTGTTAGATTTTCCAACTCCTTTAGGTGATCTTACACTTTCAGATCTCTAAATGTAATTTTTCATGGAATAAACAGTGCCTACTTACTCCTTGTTTTTTTCCAACTATCAGACCTTTGCCTCTCAAATCAGCTCCTGGTATACATTCAAGCTGTTTGATAACCCTGGCCTCGAAATCTTAAGTGTTATGCTAAAATCTCAGGACTAGATTGTGTGCTACGACTGTGTGTGATCAGGAATCTGTAACATCTAGGAGTAAGAAGCATCTGAGAAATCCAAACAAGGATATATTCATGCAGGAAGAAAATACAAATACGTTTTGCTGCAAAGACTGCCTGTTTTACCAGTAAACAGAGGAGAAACTCCAGAAAAAAAAAAATTGTCCATCATTTTGGTTGACAAGAGATGCAAGCCTTCACCATCAGACCTAAATCAAGCATGGATGTGACTAACAGATGCTTCTCGTTAGTGAAAAAATAGCCCATACTAATGTTCAGTCAAAATGTTGGTTAACCACTCCTTTTGATTCTTACTTTCTCCTTCTACAGCAAGGATTCAAGGGATTCCAAGTTGCACCAGATCGACACAACAGCATAGTCAAATTTAATTTTGAGGGCTGTGACTTCGAGCTTGCTCATGGTTCCGTAGTGATTGCTGCCATTACAAGCTGTACAAACACCAGTAATCCGTCAGTTATGTTGGGTGCAGGTAAGCTGATTTGCTTAATGTGCAGTAGTTTCTCTACGGCTCTGAATGTGTGTCTTAAAGACAGCAACACTGATGTAATTCAAGGTGTACAGTGCTGGTTTTGTCATTTGGAGTGTTAAAGCTGAGCTTAGTTTCTAAAGCTAGCAAAGGACTTGTGGAAGTGGTAGCTAGAAATATAAGTTGACAAAAATGTATTCTTCCTGCACTGTCTTTTCTATAAGGCAAGCTGGACCTTAATTAAGCAACACTTTTGGCACTTCTCCAAATGCACAGAAGCTGATACATAGAGATAAGAAGAGGCTGTTGAAAGTCAGAGCCAGAAGAGGGACAGTGAGAATAGTCTTTTGGGGCAAGTCTGAAGGTGCTCTGATCTGTCAGCAGAGTGAAAAATACGCATTTAGCTAGAGGTTGTCCTCTAAAGTTGTTACAAGAGTCCCGGGGCATGGTAGGTGTGAGTAGAAGAAGCAAACTGTATTCTCACGGATTGCCAGCTTTCAGAGCCTTTTCATTTATATCTTAACTGTGTCCGAAAGGAAGCCAGAGATGAGCTTGGTATGCACCACTACAGAACAATTAGTCTCACTTGGTTGTATAAAATTTCAGGTCAGGAGATTGTTCATTTTTAATATGACTAGTCCAGGCAGAAAATTTGCCATTCCTAATGTGTGCTTCTAGTAACAAAGTAGGAATGAAAAATGTCAGCTCAAAGGGTTCAGTCTATACTGGACAAGTTTGGCGCAGTTTCCCAGGTGCTTGGCTACATGTTTGCATATTTCTTTCTCTCCTCTGCAAATATATACATAGATGGTATCTGTCACTGTATGATAATTGCTGCATAGAGGCTTACTAGTCTGTCAGACTGTTCATGTAATGCAGACAGTAAATGTAACTTTATTCCTTCAAAGTTCAGAAGGGATATGCACTGGGCAATACAAAGGCCCTTCACCAGAGCAAATTACTTCCTCGTTAAAGTAATATAATTTCTGTTTGTTCCTGTGTGGTGCTGGGAAGCTTTTGGGCTGTCAGCAGTCTCTGTCAACAGTCACTTTGTGTTTGGCTTTTTGATGTGATATTTATCACTTGTTTTTAGACTAGTATCTATCTTTGCACACTTTACATATCAGCACCTCACCCCCTCCCAGGCCAAAGGTCTTTTAAACTCTAGCAACAGGTTCAAAGTCCATCATAAACTAAGATGTGGGGCAAAGGAGAAGCAGAGGAGAGAGCTGCTCATTTTCTTACCACTTTGAGAGGAATTGAATGGAGTTCAGAATTGTGTTCCAATCCACTTGCCTTTAACAGGACAGCCGGAACAGCATACCTCTTTCCTCAGGTCCATTCTGCATTATCACAGAAATATATCTGTAGTTCCTTCGGATCAAGAAGTAGATTTTCTCCAGGAAAACCCATTTGTTTTGTCTGTTCCCTTAGTTCTAGGTAGATGTATCCGTCAGTTGTGCCTGTTGAAGATAGTTTCCTCTAGTTTTGGCTCCCAGGCTAATGACCTGCATTTTTAACCTTCTCTAAAGCAGTAGGGATACTGAATGCACTTTGAGTGCGTTCACTACTATGTAATGCACAGCACCCTCAAGAATGTAGTCCTAAGGATTTTGGTTTATGTGTTCAGATTTAGTGGCTACTCTCATCTTTGCTGCCTTTCTGTACAGCAGCATTTATGTTTTGACCTTGACAATGAAGGAAAATGTAATTTTGTCAGTCTCTGAAAACTGTTGGTAAACAGCAGTGTTGAGAACCTCTGAGATACCCACAAGAAACACAATAGTTTGGCTTTCAGGATGAGGTTTCAAATGAAAGTAAATAAACATACAGTTTATTTTTTATTTATTTTACTTTTTTACAGTTCCCAATTAAGTAACCAAGCTAAAAAAATCCAGGATATGAGCAGTTGTTTCAAACTACTGCTATATATCCTGTGCACTATGCAGGGGCTGTGTGTCTGTGGGGATAGTGGATATGTGCTGTAGGAATTTTGACAGCCTAATCTGACTTAAAAAAAGTGTTGGATTAAGGTTGTTTAGAGGAACTGAAGTTCTGGCATTTCCTTGCCAACTTTGAGAGTTTGACTATGCTATCTTTTCAGAACTAAGCAGCAAGACAGAGGCCAACACTTTGAAAACAGGTTGTCAAATTCTCAGTTCCTAGGATGACCATTTGTTCATGATCTCATTTGCAGAAGAATCCAAGAGCTCCAGTTTCTGCAGATTCCTCTATTACTAAGGACCTTCAGCAACTTCAGGAATAGGACCACTTCTTTAAATTAATGTGTGTAAACCATTTCACACAACACTTAAAAGTGTCATTGTCCAGGTCAGGTCTTATCAGAGGTGCCAGACAGCTGGCAAAGACAAAACAGTTTCCTGACATCTTCCTGTTGGAGATCATGTTGGATCAAAGCACAGCTTATGTATATTTTCTTATCTAAATTAATGTCATGTGTGAGGGGGAAAATGGAACATGGGAATGTGAAGTCTTGCATAGTTTGTCTCTCTGCTTTTATGTTCATCCTGGAAGAGAACTGGAGAGGACTTGTTCTCCAAACATGCATCTTGGTATGAACAATTCATTTCAAAGGATGGAATTCAGGATAAATGTGTGTCTAGTAAAACATTCAACTGAAATATCTCTATGCATATTACAAATTCAGGAGTGGTAAAACAGGACTTGTGCAACAAGCTGTGGATTGTGAGCTGGCTTGTTTGTGGCAAGGACCAGCACTGGTATTCTCATAGCCTTCTGCTCTTGAGGGCAGCAAGTCCTATGCTGGCAGTTTTTCTTCTCTGCATTACTACACCATGGTAAGTGGGAGCTTAACAGGTCTTCATTGCCTTTTTTGTGAGACATTATTTGTCTTACAAATAGTGCTCTGAATTTTGAATGTCTACTTTCTGCCCCACTGAGTGCATCTTATGGAATGCAACTTTCATCAATTTTCTAGTGGAACAGAAATTGCAGGCTGGATGTACAGTTCAACAGAGCGCTAGCTGGCTGTCACGGAATTAGTGCTGTTGGCTTGCTGTACCATTTCCTTGTTGATGCCTTTCCTGTTCCCAATTATTTAATAGTATTTCTCTTAACATGCTTATCCACCAAACTGTCTCACTTCCAGGAAAATCTGCAACTATCCTCTGTATTTTTCAGGATTGCTTGCGAAGAAAGCTGTGGAAGCTGGTTTGACAGTGAAGCCGTACATTAAAACTAGCCTGTCCCCAGGAAGCGGGGTTGTCACTTACTATCTGAGGGAGAGTGGAGTTATGGGTTACCTTTCTCAACTAGGGTAGGAGTGCTTTTCTTACTGTTGTCCTGTGGCTGCTTAATTAAAAGCTTTGTCAACAAGTGATGCAATAGAACAACTATTTCTCTGTACAGCTTAAAAGATATTGCAGATACCTTATGGTATGATCCTGCATGAGTGAACACATTGCTGTTGTGCTGGCTGGTTTTTATACCGATGATGAAGGCCTGCTGTAACTTTTTGAAGACACGTTCTTAAGCAGGAGAATGGGTTATTTTCAAGACTAATTTTTTTTTAAACAGTGTAAATGATACTATATCATTTTTCCTCTTGCTAGGTGACACATTTCCCATTCTGAGTTCATGGACAGTCACTGCAGTGGTAAAAGTAGAGCATTTTAAAAATGCTGTTCTCAGCAGTATTTCATTTATTAAAACAGTATTTCTCCTGAAAGTAACAATTTTTTTTGTTCACTATTATTTTTATACTTTGTATAGGTTTGATGTGGTCGGTTATGGCTGTATGACATGTATTGGGAATAGTGGACCCCTACCAGAGTCTGTTGTGGAAGCCATTACACAGGTATGCAGTTTTTCCTGTGCAGCTCATTTATGTAAACTGTTCTTTGCAGTGTGCTGTTCTGACCTGTGTGTTGACTCTTCAGCTCTGTACAAAGTAAATTCAATCTATATTCTTTTCTGTGGGAAGTGTTTTGGGATTGTTCATGAGACAGTTCTGTGACTGGTCATCATTGCAGTGCAACAAGGCTCTGCAGACTTGCTGTGTTTGTGGATTCTGCAAGACCTGACCTATCTTTGTCTCAAACTCCATCTTACAGGGAGACCTTGTGGCAGTGGGTGTGTTGTCTGGCAATAGGAATTTTGAAGGGCGTGTCCATCCCAACACCCGTGCTAACTACCTGGCCTCCCCGCCACTGGTGATAGCCTATGCAATTGCAGGGACCATCCGGATTGACTTTGAGAAAGAGCCTTTAGGTAAGACAGTATTGGGATGCTTCTTTTCACAGGTTATGAACTAAACTGTTTGGAATTAAGCGCTTCAGAAACATTTGTCCTAGGGAAGTACTTTAAAGTACTAAGAACATCTGGGAAGCAAATTATGAAATTGTTAAGAGTCAGAGCAACGAGGAGTCAGAGATGATGGAGAAAGAATAATGCTCACATTTGGCTTCCCTCTGATTCCACTGGGACACATTTTTGGTTATATCTGGGTGATATAATGAAATAATGATGTATCTGGTTCTTTTAAGGCCAACCTGAGTTAGTAGATTTTCAAAGACCTTCAAGGACCTTCAAATATTCTTTCCAGCATAAATGATTCTATAAATTATTCTGGAAGGCCATTGGAAGTCACAAAAGAAGGGTTTTGTACAGGTATCATCAAGTTTGTGACTCAGTTTTCTGTCAGACCCTTGCAAGTGAAATAAAGCATGTCTCGTGAGTGTTACAAGGAACACATAGCCAGAGAACACACTGGTAAAGTCTTCTTTCTTCTTAATGAAAAAATTATGCAACAAAATTGACAATACCATTTTATACAGGAATAAATTCTTCAGGGAAGAAGATTTTCCTGAAAGATATCTGGCCAACAAGAGATGAGATTCAGGCTGTTGAGCGTCAATTTGTTATTCCTGGGATGTTCAAGGAGGTCTACGAAAAAATAGAGGTGAATGAATCCTCTTGGCAGTAGTTTGATTGATGTACTATGCTATTCTGAAGATAATGAAATTAACCTTTTTCATGTCTAGGTTTTGCTTTTGTTCTGACAGATATTCAGATGAGCTTGTTTTTTGGTTTTTTTTTTTAAGTCTTCTGGATAATTAATTCGTTCTTTCAGACAGTCATGTTTTGAAAATTGCTCTGTATGATATTTTTAATGTAACACGTAGATAATGTGTTTTCAACAACCATCTTCAGCTGATACTAGAAGCTGGAATATTCCAGCTTCACGGATGTTTGATTTTTTTTCAGCTGACAGAAAATTCATCTGCATTAACTAATAGGATTGATACCAGAAAAAAGACTTGTACTTGGTAATGTCTTCCTGCAAATCCTTCTGGAGTGTTGAAACAAAATATTCTTACAGTTTTTATGTTAGGGAAGTTTCTTAAGATTACTTAAAAATATAGTAGACAATTATAAAGTGTTACCTGTGTACACAATAGAGGTTATTCTCAAAAATAGGATGAATGTCTCTTCTTTTGTAATGAAATCAGGTTTTTCTTAAACCATTTAATAGATAGAATAATTTAAAAATCATCCCAAAAAGTAATGTAGATAGTTACGTGCATTTTCCAAAGTGCTCTAAGAAATACATAAGGCTTTTGGTAAAGTATAATTTGTAATTTTTCCTGGATTCTGAAATAATTATGTTGCTTATGAAAACTTAGAAAGCAATGAAATTATTTTGTATGTTTTTCAGACAGTAAACAAAGCTTGGAATGCCTTAGATGCTCCTTCAGATAAGCTGTATACTTGGAATCCCAAGTCTACTTATATCAAATCTCCTCCTTTCTTTGATGGTCTGGTACGTACATGCTTGTTGAATCAGGCCAAAGTGTGCAGTGATCTTGACTCATATTAAAGGAGAAGGAAAGCCACTTCAAGGGGCCTGAGAGGGTTGATGAAAGTCTATTGAGGCCTTGATTTTTAAATGTTACACTTGGTTCTTAAGTGTTCTTAAACTAACACAATTAAATACAAAGGCGTGAGTGAATCTCAAAATTTCCTTTCACTTCAGGGCTCTTGAAAAGTCCCCTTATCCTTTTAAGTTGAAATACTTCTAAATGGTAACAAAGCAAGTGAAGAAAAACAACAGGAAATTAAATGCACTGATTTGCCTGCTTGCATGTTGCACCAAATAGTTCAATGTTCAAATTGCTAATTCAGTGTAATTTAAAAGTGAATTGAGACTTTAATGCATGCAAATGTCTAGGAATTCTCGATTTTTATTCATGTATCACAGGAAGCCTTGGCATGTTTTTATTGGCTGTTCAATTTTCTTCATGCATGAACTTGCTGGCAGACAGCCAGCGCATCATATTTGTTCAAGAGCATAAAGATTTTTAATAGTGCTGGATTTTTTCTTTCTCCTAACCTGTATAAAAAGAGAGACTTTATTTTGCAATTTGCACTTTTTTGAGAAAGATAAAGGAATTACTTTTCATACATTAATTGCTTTGTTTGTATTTATGATGGCTTAGACTTTGGCTCTTCAGACTCCGAAAACAATAGAAGACGCTTACGTCCTGTTGAGTTTCGGGGATTCTGTGACAACTGACCACATATCTCCAGCTGGTAACATAGCAAGAAATAGTCCGGCAGCCCGTTATTTGACCAGCAGAGGGTAAACACTGCTTATTGTTCTTGTCATACATTGGGAAAACAAACTACAACTGTTATGCCATTATGCACACATACCTTCTGTCTTTTCACATACAGTTGTATACCTTGACAGCAGCCTAGACAACATATAAAATAAGAAACAAATGCATTTCTTTTTCTGCTACTTCAGCAGCTCTGACTGAGTGTAAGAAGTAGAATAGAGCGTATACATCTGTTATCCTTGTAGAGTTAAAGACATTATGGAAATAGGGGAAGAAGATGACTTACTGCAAAAACTAGCTTGTACCTTTATTCATAAATAAGGGAATCAAGATTTGTCTCCCTATCAAAGCAAAATGACTATTTTCGTTAGTGCCAAAAATGAGTTTTATATTAATTTCTTCTAGCACGTGCAACTATTTCACATATCTAGGCTCTTAGTTGCTACAGAACATCCAGAAGTTTAGGTTTCAGTGCAGCAGTAATTACTGGCAAATCTATTGTGATTGGAGTCTTGTAAAATGTTAATCTTTTTCTATGACCAGTCTGTCAATTTAGTACTTGGGGTTCAACCTAAAGCAAGACTAGGACTTACCAAGTTGACCTATTCAGACTTCACAGGTAATATATTGCTTTTATTCGCTGATTTTACTTCTTACACCTTCAGTGGTGTTTTGCGCAACAGCACTGACATAAAAAGTCCTAACTCGCTAGACCTATTAATTTTGGAAAGAGAATGGATTAAAACAGCGTGATATACTGAAAATAACTGCTCTGGACTCTCTGACCCCCTGCTATTAGTTACCTGGAAATCTGAATAGTCCTATGTGCATTACAGAACATATACTGTATGTCATAGCTGCGATTTGGATGTAGCCCAGTGCAAACAGTCTAATTTTCTGTAACATTCTAGAGCAATTTTTGTTTGCTGGTTAGACTGGATTGTCCCCTCATTCTTGCATTTCTGTTTGCAAGTGAAATTTTTCTTCTGTAGTTCTAATTTTCAGCAGAGAGTCTTGCTGCCTTTTAGATTTTTAGCACAGTGCTCTGCTGTTGTTCTAGATGCTATAGTAGTATAAACAATGAGGATCTTCAGGCATCAGCTATTAAGAAAAAATTTGTGTTGCATCTGCAGACTTAATGTGAATTATATCCTTGCATCACTGTTGGATACTATTTCTAGGGCAAGAGTTGAGAGGATTATGGAAGCTGCTTTTTCTGACCAAACTGTAGCTATTTGTAAATCACTTTTCCTTCAAAACATCTCAAAGGAGAAGTATTGGCTAACGGGATGCTACTGCCAGGGTGGGAGCTACATACATACCTACCTCTATTACTCTTTTTTTAGAACAGAGAGCTTTTATTCTAAAACCAACACAGTGTGCTTTCTTCTTTTCCCTTAATAGCCTGACTCCTCGAGAGTTCAATTCTTATGGCTCCCGCAGAGGGAATGATGCTGTCATGGCCAGAGGGACATTTGCAAACATTCGCTTGGTCAACAAGTTTATTGATAAACAAGGACCTCAGACAATCCATTTCCCTTCTGGGGAAATTGTAAGTACACATGCTGCTCTAAACTGTGGCTCACTGCCAACTGAGTGGATTAGTGCTGGCTTTCCTTCTTACCAGCTTAGGAATTTACTTCAGTATGTTTTAAGTAAAGCAAATTGAGGGGGCATGAGCTGACTCAGGGAAGCAGTCACATGTACCTATGCAATGTGGTGCTTTCAGGCATATCAGTGGAGAGTGTAACTACTGTAGAAACACCAGTGGAAGGTGCAGATTTGCGTTGGGAGTGAGATTAGGCTAGAAGCCGCAAAGTGCTGTACAGTCAATATCCTTGAGTGCTACTTGGTGGAAGTTGGGGGCTTCCATAGTTTATGTGGGCACTTTTTTTTTCTCCTTTCCCTGGAACTGTGATTCCACTTGCAAAAAGTTTACAAAGCATTTGGTATTTTTATTCCAGCTGGACGTGTTTGATGCTGCAGAAAGATACAAGCAGGCTGGTCATCCTCTAATTGTGCTGGCTGGGAAGGAATATGGTGCAGGAAGTTCCAGAGACTGGGCTGCTAAAGGACCATTCCTCTTGGTGAGTGGCTACAGTAAACTAGGAGGACAGCATTAACAGTGCATTTCTTTGTTAGTAAGACTAGCTTATGACCAAATCCTGGGTAGCTCATTCTCACTTTTGGTAGCAAGAGATATTTTGAAATCTCAGCTGCTTCCAAGAGACACAGTAGAGTTGCAAAAGCTATTAATAGATCTTGTTCCAACTGGAAGGCTTGACTGATCTTCATCTAGAAGTCCACAAGGCCACACAAGAAAGGCCGGTTTCTTTGCTTCCACTTTCAGTAACTCCATAAACCATAGGTCTGCTTTCAGCAGCATCCTTAAGCTCCCTTAGCAAAGAAAATAGAAAGTGTACACTAGAAAGTGTAAGAGAAGACTATCAGTGGAAATGAAATTTAGCATGACTTCTCCATGGGAGCCAAATACAAATCCACATACAGTGAAATAGCTGTCTCTTTCTCTCTCTGTCCAGTCTTACACTGTTTACAGCAAGAACGCTGACTGAAGCTTTCTTGCATTACTAGAAAAATGTGCAAGAGAGTTGGTGTTTAAGTTCATGTAGGTTTTTGGAGTTTTTTTTTCTGTCAATGAGTTTTTGTGTTAAATGTATTAACATGTAACATTTTCAACATTAAATTAAACTGCACACTGGTGCTTATAGGAGGGCAACACTGAATTAGGAAGAGTAATGGAAATTACTAGTGGTGCTCTGCATAAGACATGTTAAAGTAAATGCAGGATTCCTGAGAAAATGTGTTACTTTTTTGAGTCAGGCTTCTTTTAAAGAGGTGTGAAAGTTAACGTACAATCAAATCATCCTGGACAGTTTGCTGTCAGACAGACCTGCTGGCTCTACCAGTAGCCAGTAAATGAAATGGAGGGGACCACAAACAAACAAATTTTCTTCTTGTGAGTACAGAAAGACGGTTTTGAACTATGAAATAATTCAACCTGTTGTGCATTTCTTAGGGTGTCAAAGCTGTGCTTGCTGAAAGCTATGAGAGAATTCATCGAAGCAACCTAGTAGGAATGGGAGTGATTCCTCTACAGTATTTACCTGGAGAGGATGCAGGAACTTTAGGACTCACTGGACGGGAGCGTTACACGATTATCATTCCTGAAAAACTTAAACCACAGATGAATGTCCAGATTAAGGTATCAGACAGCCAAGATCTGAATTTTCTGAATCCCTATAATCTTACTCGAAATTGTCTCTTCAAAACGTATGCTGTGTCATATGGCAGAAAGATTCGCTTAAAATAGGGAGAAGAATTGAGATGGTGAAGGAGATTAAAACAGTTATTCTAATAGGGGTTAAACTGAAGGAGGGTAGAATTAGGTTAGATGCAAGGAATAATTTGAGATGAGGCACTGGAACTACTGCCCAGGGAAGCTATGGATTCCTTCTCCCTGGAAGGGTTCAAGCTCAGGTTGGGTAAGGCTTTGAGCAACCTTCTCTAGTGGAATGTTCCCTGCCCATGGCAGTGGGGGTTCAAACTAAGTGATCCTTAATATCCCTTCTAGCCCAAACCATTCTGTGATTTACTATGACAGGATATAAAAGCAGGATGGTCAAACTGTTTTAATTAACACAAAGCCATCCTGTATTTTGGACCAGTGACTCAAAGTCCACTATTAATTTCTCAGTTATAAATTAAGCAGCAAATGCGAAGAGACTCCATACTGTGTTTGTTAGGGTTTGTTTTAAACCACATTCCTCTCAAGTGGCTTCTTGTACTCTAGTGTGGATAGAAGTATTGATGCCTTTAGCTTTCTATCACAATTTTTTAAGATAGCAAAACTATCCTAGTAGTCTTTATTTTACTATGATGTCAAATAATATATACAAGGTTCTGCTCTTTGAATGACTTTCTTTGATCCTAACAGCTGGACACTGGGAGAAACTTTAATGCCATCATGAGATTTGACACTGATGTGGAGCTCACTTACTTCCACAACGGCGGCATTCTGAACTACATGATCCGGAAAATGGCATCCTAATCAAAAAAACAGGTACAAACCTGTTTCTCCTGAGCACAATGAAACTATAGTAATCATGAATTTCAAAGTGTGAACCATAAAGTGAACAGTTTTTTTCTGTGGATTGTATTAGAAGGCTTGTTTACAGTGCTGAATTTTTCTGTGTATCAGGAAACTAGACACACCCATATAAAGTAAACAGCATTTATTAATTGTTTTGTATGGCAGTTGGCTTGACTTACCTTAGAATACAGTGCAGAAGTCATTAAAATACTGCTGGCATCTGTAGAACCATTGAAGATCATGTGCTGATCACTTGGTTTCATGCTCATATCAGTGATCTAGAAATTAACTGACAGTATAAAAACATTTTTATTCCTTCCTGATTACCTGACACTGACTTGCTTTCTTACTCAGTTAAACAGAATCAGAATCTAATATTGAAATAATTTAGCTGTTTATTAATTTTAAAAAATGTGAACTCTGTTTAAAATCTAAGCCTTTGTGGAAAGGCGGACTTATTGGGGATATTTCTAATAGATAATATTAAATTTATTTTTAAAAAGTTTGGTGGTTCTGTCATTTTGTCCTTGGTGTTGTGATGCAGAGCAAAACTTTGACTTACGCTTTTCTCATTGTCCCTGTATGAACAGAATCATATGAGTCTTGACTTTCCTAGTTTCTTTGACAAGTTTGCACGAGCTAGAATGAATACAAATACTGTCATATCCCAGCAGTCTTCTGTAACTTAACAGAATACGGGCATAATACAATTCCATCTGTTTTGTGCCCTCAAGAAGACAATCTCCAGACTTTCAAGATCCTCATCAGCAATTTCTATGTCAGTTAGCAACCAGTAATTACATTCATGCCCTCAGTGCAGTCAGTGACTGCCCAATCAAAATGCCATGTGAATCTGTTTACAAAGATAGCAAACTACTTTTACTCAGAGATAAACAATTATCACTCTTAACTGTATTTACAGCAACTGCCACAACAATTAACATACTGGAGAAATTACTTCAAAGTAATTTCCTAATGTGTTTTTAGTGCAGTCAGGTCTGGTTGTTTCTGGATAAAAAACAAGTATTAAAATAGTTATGAAAGAAGAGACTTCAGGAGGGCACTAAGACTGCACTGTACCTGAAACAGGCTATTGCTTGATTGTGACACAGCTCCTCTAGTAAATCCATCAGAGGCCCACCATGATGTTGCAGGGTCTGAAGTGTTTCTCATGAGAAGCTGAGAGTCAGGACTGTTTAGTCCAGTGATGGGAATGCTCAGGGGTATCTCTGCTGTTCATCTACTAATATCTGAATGGAGGGCACAAAAGAATATGCAGCCAGGCTCTTTTCAATGGTGCTAAATAACAGAGCAAGAAGCAGTGGGCACAAACAGTATGAAACACAGGATGTTCCCTGTGAACAACAGGAAACTTCTTCACTCTGAGGGACCAAGCACCGATGTCCCATTGCCAGGAGAGGCTGTGGTTGTCTACATCCTTGGAGATGTTCCGATGCTGTCTGGACATTTGGACATTGTCCTGGGCAATCCCTTGGGTCACAAGATGACCTTTAGCTGTTCTGTGATTCTGTGAATAGAGTAATTAATATGGTAGTAATCTTAGTAAGAAATGTGCAATTTCAGCTTCAGGATTTTTTTAAAAAAACTAGATATTCTCAAAGGCCAAATAGAGTGCTGGTGTTCTTCCCCACCCCCGCATCTTCACTGAACGTGTGTACTGAAGGCTTCTTGTATCAAGCTGAATTCTTATTAATGTGTTGTTCCATCAACCTTTAGTACTTGTTTAGGCTGAATTGCAAAGTTATTTTAGTCTGAAATCCTTGTATTCAAAGAATAGGAAAATACCAAAACCTTTCAAGTTCAACTTCCCAGTAGTTATTACTATAAACTGGAATTTTGGCCTGATTTTTTTTTTTTTTCAATGCAAAGAGTTCCAAAGCAGATGATCCTTTCACAGACCAATTTGGTACTTAAAATCTGTGATTTTTCCATGTACTTTTAACCTGACAATGCTAAATTAGACTTTTTCAAAAGTAGTTTGTTCCTGGTATTTTTGGAGGGGAGGCATTATCTAAACATAAATAATCTTAATTAATTGTTCTGTGTTTCCTTTTAGGTAAAAACTAAGTACAGAGGAAGTTACTGTAGAAATGAGATTCAGCCTTCCTGTACAGTGCATACAGCTTTCACATTAAAACCCGTGGATTGAGGTGGAACATGAAGCAGTGCTTACAAAGTTCTTTTGCTTTTAATGTCACACAACACTTTACAAGAACACCACAAGCTTCACTGAGTAGGATTTAGGCAGTTTAAATTAATTTTTGAACTCATAAATTTAGGTTCATTCTTTTTAACTCTTAAATTAGGTGTGAGGTGGAGGAGGGGGGGGTTGTGCTTTGGTTTTGGGGATTTTTTAAATTAGTTTCAGTGTTTCGTAACATAATTCTTGTACATACATATCTTGCCACATTGTCAAATACACAAAGGGAACTTAAAATACATTTGGTTTTGGTTCCAGAAATAGTGAATACTAAGCTCATTGAAGATGTGTGGAATCAGCGGGGGCTTTAAAGTGTTCAAGTACAACATTTCATAAACTCTGTAGGAATTTCTAGTTTTCCCAGAGAAATCTGGATCTGAGTAAAGAGGACAGATTTGAACACAGTAATGCCTAGACTCTGACAGGAAGCTTACAGTATTTTCAGTGTCTTGCGAGATTTTAGGTGACAATCCATGAAACAGGGCATCCAGGTAAATGCTAATCCCCTTCAAAAGTGAACCTCCTCCCATGATCCAGTGTACTTTGTCCCTCTTAGGACTTGCTCAGTTCAGCAACACAGGAGGGTGCCCATTCTGCAATTTCAGCCACAGCAACTTGATCAGTGCTATAAAAAAGTGCTACAATTTAATTACAGGGATGAATCGCTAAGAGGGCTCTGCCCTACTGCATTTCTTATTGTTGCAGAAGCATTTCCTATTAAAGATAGATTTAAGAGATGCAATATCTTCCTTACAGAAAAGTTACTGGACATTTTTCTTTCAATTTTATATATCAATGTCTAGAATATTAAAAGTAACATTTTAAAAAGTTTCAGAAGTAGCTAGAGTACTGCATGAAGTGCTAGTAAGCCATGTTGTTCACAAGGAACATGTTAGTAGTACCAAAGAAGATGCTGATTCACACCTCAATTCTTGAAGGTCTAACCTGTTACCTAAAGTTGGATGTTTAGTTAGTCAACTAACTAAACATTCAACTTGATCTTTTTTTTTTCAGACCAGGTTCCTCATAGCCACAATGATTTGGATCTAGACATCTAGGCACATACTTGTCCTTCTAGTGAAACTTCTGGTGAAGTATCTCATTATATAGCAAATATTGGTTTTAGTGGCTTTACCAGCCTTTTATAATCTAGCCAGATGCGGGTAAGGGGCCTAGCATAAGAGCGAAAGTTTTTATAGAAAATTGATAATTGATTATTGCTGCTATTTCAGCATAGCACACTAGAACCAATATATACATTAAAATGTTGAGTTCAGCTGCATGTTTCTTCATCAAAATTCTTCAAAGACAAATTAATACTTCTCCATTTCTGAAAATCCATTTGTGACCCACTTTCAACATCCTCTAGTACAAAGCTTCTGATTTTGATCACGGGTAGATTATCAAATATCTTGTACTTCACTATGATCCCCCAGTCATGCTGGCACTCGGTATTTCGGCAATGCATCTTGCTTTTTTTCACAAAATCATCAAACTGAACCGGTTTCCTGTGGGGCTTTGTTGTATAACGCTCCTGGAATGCGTTACCTAAGACAATGTGATGAGATCCCTGAAACAACACATGCCAGAAACACTTAATATTAGAAACAATATTCCTCTTTTTTTTTTGTCATTCCCTTTCCCTTCTCAAATACATGTTCTCCCTGCTAAGGCACTTGCTGTCATCCTGGAGGCTCACCTTCCAGCCACTTTGGCTCATTCTTTTTTTTTTCCCCCCATTAATGGAATACCAGGTACTAGAAGGACCCAGGCCTGGGCTTATCAAAACCAAAGAAATTGACTGTGTATCCCCAGTCAACAGCTTACACATATTTGAACTTAGTAAGCTTTTTAAAAACTGTGTTTGCTGTATTTGAGCCATGCCCATGAAACTAAGAGAGTAATTCAGACAATAGACAAATTTGAGAGACTCCTATTTCTCATGAGGAATCATGCAATTTGGAGTGGTAGAAAAAATAACCATAACAAGATGAAGGAGCTACAGTTATTGTTTATAACATATATAATAAAAAATTAAAGAAATTAACAGCCTTACTTGAAAGCATATTTACAATCTGAGGTTGAGTCTGAAAATGATAGATCCCCCTGGAAATGCAGTTTGTAGGGATTATTTTAAAAACTGAGGCACTATTTGCAGAGTACTAAACAAAACCACTTATTGAAGAGTTTTCTGAACTCTTGACTCTATTTGCACAGGTATAGGTGATAAGCCAGGAGCACAAAACAGTGAAAAAGTCAGAGGTGCTTTAGATAGCCCTTGTTTTTTGTCAAAGAAATGTAACTAAGTGTTCACAAAACTGAGCCGTTCCCAGCTCCTTGCAGAGGAGTAGTGAGCACCATCTACATTCCAAAAACAGCTGGTAAAAATAAATAGAAATTTGGGAAGGGCCTGAAGGCAGACACAGTAATGCTCAGCTGTGGCCTGAGGCCCCTCATACTGCACTTTTCAGAGCACCACAAATAGAAGCAGCTTCAAAAGAACAAAAAGCAGAAGTATAAAGGCTCAAAGTGCTTAGAATAGCCTCTCTTCCATGATCACCACTTTCCGTGTGTAAAGAGTATTACTTTCTTTTGTCTACAAGGAAAATATTCATGTTCAGAAGGAGTACAATCATAATGTCCCTAGGATATACATAGAAGCAACTACACCTACAGAATAGAAAACAAAATAATACTGAAGAACTGTAGGGCTCTTCTTGTGGAACTATGGTTTACCCTGCTTTTCAAAACTCAAACTGACCTATAAGACAAAGAGGTTGTAAGCTGATCCCAGTACTTTGTGTAGATAATTTTCGGTCAACAGAAATTGTAGGAGAAATATCTCAACAGCAGAGAGACTTCCATCTGATGCTAATCAGGAAAGTAAATATCTAGCAGTAACTCTAGAAGGTTATGTAGTAGAAGATCGGGGGGTTTTCAACAAAATTTTCAGAAGGCTTCAGGAGAACTGAAGTGATTCCTAAAGTATCCCATATTTTCACACCTTGAACAACATCAACTCAACTCATCATACTACAGAAGTAGTCACAACTGTTCTTGTGGTTTACTGATTTACTCAGAATTTCTATTCTCCTCCAGTTTGCGTAAAATAGTCCACTTCCACACTGATAAACAATGCAGTTAGTTCAATAATGCTGACTTCTCTGGTGGTCATGGATATAGCTTCCTGTACAGAAACATACCTTTATAATTCTGATGTCATCAGTACTGCAGGCATATGCTTTGCATTTTCCACAGTAAAGTTTTTTTTTCCCTTCCACTAGTTCATGTTTTGTTTCATTCTTCCTGGAATCTCTTAGCATTTTTTCCTTCATTTGGAGGCCACGTATCTATAATAAATAAATAAAAATCAAGATCATTATGAAATGAAACCCCAGTGTCAGCCTAAATGTGACTTTGGGCATGTAATATCTAGGAACCCATTACTTAAAGCACACAAAACAAAACACACCTTGTTCTGGCAACTCATACCAAGAAAGAACAGGGTACATTTGTCAATTCAGAATGCAGAGCTAGAATGAGACTATGTGATGGACAGCATTTATGCTATTTGCTCCTTCTTCCCTTCTAGCTCCCAACAGCACCTCTGGTCTTAAGGCTGGTATGTCCATGTGAACGTTTAAGTCATATGAGACCCTATAGCACAATTAACGCTGCAGATCTGGGAATCTCATGGGTTTGAAAGAAAGCTACAAAGACAACAGAAACTGCAGGCAGAGAAAGAAGCAACAAGGCACAGCCTGTAGCTGAGAAACAAATGCAGAAATGGAATCCTCTGAGAAGAAGCAGGAGAAACTGCACCAAGCCTTGGACGTAGAAGTTCAGGCAGACACTAACCACAGCCTTTCCCATTTCCACTAAGTGGGTCACACTGTCACAGAAGAAAATCAAGCTGCTCAGGCAGGACATGCCTTTCACAAAACCCAGGTGGGCCTGATCCCTGGTTGTCCTGTATGTGATGGGTGATAGCACTCAAGGTGATCTGCTCCATAATGCTCCCTGGCACTGAGGTCAAGCTGATGGGGCTGTACTTCCCGGATCCTCCTGGTCCTTCTTGTAGATGGGTGGTCATACTGACCAACCTCCAGTCTCCTGGGATCTCCTTGATATACAGGACTGGAAAGTGCTGGAAAGTGGATTGATGAGCTTTTCCACCAGGTCTCTCAGTACCCTTGGGTGGATCCCGTCTGCCCCCATAAACTTTTGTCGCAATGGTGTAGCAGGTCACTAATCAGTTCCTTTTTGATTGTAGGTCCTTCATCCTGCTCCCTATCACTGTCTTTCAGCTCAGGGAACTGAATATCCTGAGAACAACCAGTCTTACAGAAGCAAATAAGCATTAAGTGCCTCAGTCTCTTCTCTCCATTTTTGTCACTATGTTTCCCCCCATAACCAATAAAGAATGGGGATTTCTCCTCAGCCCTTGGTGGTGGTCCATATGAATATCCAGTTGGGCTTTGGCCCTCCCGATTTTCAGCTGCAAAGCATCTCAATATCTTTGTACACTGTGCCCAAGATGGCCTCCAAATCTTACCTCACCCAGGAGTCCTTCTCTTTTCATAAGCAACAGGTCATAAATTCTACCTCATGCTCTTAAGTTTTTGCAGTTACTGTACAGTTGACATTCACAAACTGTCAGTACACAGTATCCCTTCTCTGCTGACCTAGCCTTTGTCACAAATCAAGTACAATGAACACCTCCCTCAGGTTATAACTTTTCCCTACATAGAGCCTTAATAGGTGAAGGTAGATACAGATTATGCCTTTAAAATTTGAGTATGAAAACTGCACAAATCACAAACCTTTCTTGCAAATGTTGTTTCATCCCAGTTCTGTAGCTTTTCAATAGCTGCATTCATCATTTCTTCCTTGTAAGTGTTTAGTTTTTCATTCTCAACCACTTCCGTTTTGCTTGTCACAAGGATGCACTTGCTGTCTTTTGCCCTTCCACGACCTATACAGCAACACGTTTATGCTCTTTAGTTACTCTTACCAACATATGCAAAAATGACAGGTCTGCCATAAGACTACTAAGGGCCTTCTGTATGTCTGCTTTTGTTTGTAATGTTCAGATTGAATGAAGAGCATTCTTCAATAATAAACCAGAAGAAGATGCCCCCTTCCAGGTATCCTCATGGATATACCCTAGCCAGTACTATATTGCCTGCTTCTGTGGCCTCCCTGTGCAGGCATGCTTTAAAATACATTTTTTATGTAGCATCTTGCTGTCTTCTTGTTGCGTAAAAAAAATGTAAAGGAGAAAAGTTCATCTCAGTCTTTCTTATTAGTTTTCAGCCCTGCTAATTGATGTCTAAAAATACCCAAAACCCCCATATATCACAAAAACCTAAGGAACTAGAAATACTGTGCTGACAAGAGCACAAACAACAACAGCAAGCACCTTCTCTTCTACCTGATTATGCCTACTGTCTGCCAGTTTATTAAAGCTGAGACACAGGCAAACCCAGAACTACAGGGATATCATACCAGTTTAGCAGTATTTCGGTTATAAAAAGCGTTCACATTTCTTTTGAGTTTTTTCACCACAAAAATCATCATTGTATGTGGTTTGAAACTGACATAACCTCTTTTCGTTGCACCTTTAATGGATTTTTAATAATAAACACTATCTTTCCATCCATAAAAGTCAATTCTGGGCCAGTTATTTCATTACAAAATACAGGTAAGAAGGTCACAATCCACAAACCCTGAAAGTAGAGTACAGAGTAAGTACAATGGAAATCACTTCACATTAAATGATGATGTGAACTGCTTGGGAAATATGAAGAAATATTACAGATGCACCATTAAGAGAGTAGGCACTTTTATAATGTATAGGAATGTGAAGCAGAAACCAGAATTTTGTGTGGCTCTTCATTCCCCTCTACTGGCCATACTGTAAAATCACCAAATTTAAGGCCAAAGTCACAACACTGCTCAGGACAAACAGGGAAGAGAGAAACAGGGTGTCTTTCTTTTGGTCCAAATATTAGAGATCTGCACAGGCGAAGGCCTCATGTACCTGGGAGTAGCTGGGTTGGTAATAAACCACCAGGCTGGAGAAGGCCTTCAGAAGCCAAAGCAATACAAGAAATTCCATTGCAGCAGTCCTTTGTAAATTGTCACAGAATGATTTGTAATATTTCTGACAGCAGTTCTTCTAGCCATAGTTCTGCTTATATGTAATTGCCAACTTGATGTACTATAACCTTGTGCAGCATGGCTAATTTGCCTGTTGTCAGTCAGACAACATCAAGGACTTGGCTCAGTGAACAAATTTATCACATCCCATCATTCACATGAGACTTTGCTCTAAGGCACAGAGAAACAACAGCAAGGGATGCACATATTACAGAATTTCCAATGTGCCATTTAGTAGCATTTCATGTCCATTTCTAGGCCAAAACAGGTTTCTACAGTAATAGTTCTGAAATTCCATACCTCTGACTTGGATCATTTTGGTGACATTACCGAAGTATTCATAGAGCACCACAAGGTTGCACTCAGTAATATCAATGCCTTCGTCAGCAACAGATGTAGCAATTAGCAGTCTGATGTCTTTGTCATTTCTGAATGCATCCAGGACACCCTTCTGCATTGGCAGGGTCATACCTACAGTACCAATATAACTGTGTCAGGAAAAGAAAACTGAAGAGCTCCTTGAGCAAGATACCCACATGTGCTTTTACTTCAGTGATTAGAAATTAGTACATCCATTCATCCTGGAAAACTACTTCAAGTCTGATATGCAGCTGGGTGTACATTATACTCACAGACTAGGGATTCCTGTTGATGTGTCACAGATATTGTCAACTTGGGAAACACCATTTTAGACACGACACCCAGATGCTCTTTATTGAAGACACCCATGCAGCTTAGTTAATTAAAACCCAACCTAATTCTGAACTTAAGCCATAGGTAATTCATTTCAGCTGTAGCTTCCATTCTATCTTAAAGTGACTGCCACCAAACACAAAATAAGAGAGGAATCACAAAGTAACAGAGATAGTACGAGAATTAATCACAAGAAGCTATGATAGTGAAGTTTCTAAACTGCTTTTGAATCAGCAGAAGAATCCTGAAAAAAAGCACTGTTGACAGTGTTACTGATGCTTTAACCAAAGGTTCTGGACAGAAAAATGCAAGCATCCTCTTAGGATTCATTCAAGGTCTTCCCGCTCTAGAAGAATGCAAGTGCAAATCTGCATGACCTTCCCCTGTTTAAGGGCACAGAAGATGAACACAGGAAAAGCCACAGTTTTAACATCATAGCATAGCCACTACTGGTTTAGCATATCTTAATGCAAATCTGCATACCTGGTTTCTGATCTCTTCTTCCCTTACCCATCATCACATCTGGCTTTATGTGGCTAAGAAGAGGGTTTGCTTCTACCCACTTCTTCAAAGCCTGGAGAGCAAATCAGGGTGTTAGATTCCCTGTGCAGATGAAATGCTAGTTTGTGATAGGTAGCAACTTAGAGGCTGGGTAGAGAGCAAGTAGTTTTTCACTGCTAAAAATTTTGCATTTTTCTCTTACAAACTAACAGGTCACTGCATGTTACACCTCTGGCATCAAAGGAAAGTAGTTACTATTTACAAACTGGGCTTCCACTACACAGTGACAGTAGCATATTCAAACTGCTCATACAGAAGAACAAAAAATCAGCCAAGCTACTGTAGGCTTTTAAATCTAACATGCAAAGCTGCAAACAGATGCTTGGTGTAGTTAGTTCGGACTTTAGTCCCATTCTATTTTTTTTTTTTCTGGTCTGCAATTCATCCAGCATGTCTGAATGAAAAGGATAAAAAGGGAGGCTGGGTCATTCAGCTAATAAATCTGTTTATAGTAGACAGAGACAGCTGATATTTGCAGTAAATGTTTTAATCTACTCATGCTAATGATTAGCAGCACATTAATGTCAAGCACAAACCTCTTCTGAGAGCAAGGTACTGTAAAGGAAAAAAAGCATCATCCAGCCTAGATTTTTGATCATAGGCAAGTATAAAACAGACCAGTAATAAGAGTCCAGGGAACATCTGCTGCACAGTTTTTCCTTTTTCTTGATCAAAAGCAGGTGCTATAGACCTTCTTGAGGTCTATAGGAATCCTCTGAGAAATGTATATATACCTCCTGATGTGCAGTCAATAACGGAGTAGAGCTGATTCATAACAACACTACCTTAAAACCAAAACCCTTAAAATATTTCTTGTAACTGACTTTAGGCCCAAAATAAAAATCTGATGTCTTAATGATCAAGCAGAGCATGTAGTTAGACATCATGAAGGACACCATACCTGTACTGTAGTTTTCAGAAAAAGAAAAAAAAACCACCCTACTCATCCTGCCTCAGAGCATCAGGGCTTAGGTAGGCACAGTAAAATAAATTAGAATGATCAAATACATGCATGTTTTTCTACTTCAGATCAAAATGGGAAGGGTAATATGATGAGTAATTTTATTTTCCCACTTCCCATTTTAGGAGTTTTTAAAAAAAAGTCATACAGCTACTAAGGCTCTTGTCTTGGCAAAGAGAATAGTGCGAGTCTGTGGGTTATAGTGGTATGCTTCATCCAGGATGCAAGCAAGCTCTTCCAACTTTGGATTCTCATTTGACTCATCTTTTGAAAGGGCAGTCAGCTCTTGTTCTATCTCTGAAAGAAAAAAAAAAGGTTTCTTGAAAAATTTACATTTCTTAAGGCAGAAAGCAGAATTCCCACACAAACCTACTTTCAAACAGCACACACATTATTTTCTTTATTTTCTATTCTGTTCTTTCAGATGCAAGCAGGGAAATCTGTTGGGTTAAACACAACAAAATCCCCAGAAAAAACCAAATTATGAATATCTCACATTTTGTAGCAAAGTGACATGAGACCTTATGTGATATACTATGTGTCAAAAGACAACAACAAAACAAACTCAGCTCTTGTGCTATTTCTTCCAAGAAAACAACTGACACACAAGGGCAGACACAGCAGTGATTTAAAATTGCAGTCAACATTGCAACACAAAAGAGCACAGGCTGGAATATAGCCCACTGCTAACTAGGGTCAGGTCACAGAACTGTGACAGCCTCTGACTTTCAATCAGAAAGGTACACAGGCCACCTGCTTCTACCCAGAAGACTGGGACTGGCCAGGAGGCTAGGCAGTGCCCTGAACACTGTATGTTGGCTTATCTAATGCTATCAGTACTCATGATTATAGACCATCTGCTTACTTTGTGAGGCACAGCCACAAGGGAACTGCTGCCTGATCTCCAAGCCAGGCATGTAAGAACTTACTACAGCATCCAGCTACAATTATTACTATTTTATCAGTTTCTGCACTAGAAGCTTATAGTCCCAGAAATTTAGTCCCCCACCACCTGCCCTAATACTGCACTTGCACCCATGTAGTCACCACATCTTCTGGAAAGTGCAGTTTCTGGAACTGGAAAAACAACTGCACTTACTCGGAAAAAAACACCTGGATCATAAGCTCTACCATAAGCTCTCATCTCCCCTGCAACTGTCACAGGTACTATGGGAAATACCTTGAAATTTCTCTGTCAGCTGCTTCTCTAACTCTGTATATGGTCCGTTTTTTACATTTGTGAAAAATTCATTTAGATAGGCTAAAGCATCTTCGATGCGAGCATCTTCACTGATAATGAGAGCATCGTTGAATTTCTGCTTGGAAAGAGACACAAGCATTTAGCCTTCATTTTCCAAGGGGCGATAAACACAAATTTTATTTAGCTAGATTAAGTGTTGCAAAGTTGTGGTGCTCTTCCATTTCCATGACAAGCATTGCAAAGTCTCCTCTGCACCAATATGTCCCTGGTGAGCATCACAGAGACAACTCTTGTATGCCTTATGCTTTAGCCTGTGTCAACTTGCTGCAGTCTTCAACATCCTCACTTAGTGGAGAGGCAAGTACCGATCTGTTCACTGTTGTGACCAGTGACAGGACTTGTGGAAGTAGCCTGAAGCTGACTCAGGGGAGGTTTAGGCTGGATATCGGGATTTCACCCAGAGGGTGGTTGGGCACTGGAACAGGTTCCCCAGGGAAGTGGCCACAGCCCCAGCCTAACAGAGTTCAAGAAATGCCTGGAGAATGCTCTTGGGCTCATGGTGAGGATGTCCTCTGCAGGGACAGGAGCTGGACTCAATGATCCTTGGGGGTCCCTTCCAACTCTGCATTTATTCTACTATTCTAAATAGGACAATTGGTTCAAAATCTGCTTCTAGGTGAACATACCTATATCAGAAGGAACAGGATGACTCTACTTCTGTATTGAAGGAAAGAGGATACTTACCCGCAAGTGTTCAGTACAAATGAAAAGGTCTCTACAAATACTGCTCTCCTTCTCCTTATCTTCCAGTTGCAATAGTCTGCATTTCTTCTGAGTGGAAACTATCCAATGTTCATATCTCTGTGTTCCAAAGTAAATCTTGTTGATCTGGGAGATGGTATCTACCAAAGGAGAGAAAAAAAAAATTGTTCCTCTTGAGTAATAAATAAAAAGCATTAGCTAGAGGATAACACATTTCCCACTAATATTGGCTCTAAAAAGCCCTAGCAAAAGAACAGTTTTATGATATAATCACAGAACCACTGAGGCTGGAAGGCACCTATGGAGGTCTTTAGTTCAACCCTCTGC